ACCGGAGGAGGGGCAGAGAGAAAGCCCTCAGGGGCAGCCCAGCGCTGAACGTGGCTTTAGAATCGCCAGACCACAGGCAGATTCTGCGGCCTCGACTTCAGTCCTGGACTTGGAAACTTCAGTCTGATGTGGCTGAGTGTTTTCGTAAACACCCTGGAAGCCTAGTCAAAAGAAGGTTGCAAAGGGAGTAATCAAAGTATCAGTGACAGACACATTCACAGGACAGCGTGTGTGTTCACACACATGTGCCTGTCGCGACTGCAAGGACCCCACACGCCACGTGGGTTAAAAAAAAATGACAGCAGCATTCCCAAGCCACGTCCCCTTAGGAGGCCTCTGGCTCCTTCTCTGGGGCTCTTCCTCCACAGTGAAGCTCACAAAACAGCTGAGGCCTCCACCATCACTGAGGTAGGCAGGAAACCAAGTCTTATTCCGTCAGTCAGTCAGACAGTGATCAACCCTAGGCACTCAAGGAGTGCCTCCTTGTGTTGGGGCACAATTATGGTGTAAGACCACATTCATCAAATAGCAACTTACAGGAATTTCATAGAGAGCAATGAGAAGCCTCTAACCAAGTTTCTGCTGAATTCAACTGACCTTGACAGTGTCTGCAGCCCAGCTGCATAGCTCTGATAGGCCCTGAGTCAGAGTAGTTGTCTACACTTTCAGGCACCCTGGGCTGGTCCAGGACACCTTTAACTCTGCTCACCCTGTAAGGGGCCCTTCCCTTGTCCCCAGAATGTTTCTATGTTATGATAAAATTCCTTTTTCAACAAATCTGTTCAAGACTAGCCTGCTTGTCAAAAAATGACTCCATGCATGTAACCAATTGTGTGAGGTTTCATCACTAGCTTTGTACCTCCCACTTCTAAATGCTACATAAACTCTGTAAAAGCAGGGTTGATGCCTTTGGGAACTATCCTGCAACAGTCTGTATTCGGCTGGTGGAAAAATTAAATACTGCCTTCTTATCTCTTTGGCACAATGAATCTTCCTTTCAATTGGACTTGGAAATTCTCCCACAACACTAGCAGTGAGGTATTGCTCAGGGCATGGGGCAAGAGGAGTGCACAAAAATGAACAGACAGAGAGGAGATGGAACCGCAGTACGAGGCTGTGTGACACAGAGCCAGTGGAATAAAAGTCTAGCATTTGCCAAAGTGCAGAGAAAGGGGCTAGGAGCCATGTACACTAAGCCACCTCAGCCCTGAGGATTCACACTGGCAGAGGAGAGACCTGTGTCTCCCAGTCCCACCCTGGCTGAGGTGAGAATGTTGGGCAAGGCTGAGGCTGCAGGCCTGGTGCAGAGCTCTTGACACTGGTGCTGTGTAGAGCTCTGACACTTGGACTGCAAGCAAGAAGACACTGGTCCAAGCAAGAAGGAGTCACTGAAAGGTCTAGGGAAGGAGTGACGTGGGTGCAGCTGCCTGGAGAAAGTTACGAGTACAAAGGCCAACACTACCCAGGGGATGCGGCCAGCCTCTGCAGGGGGAGCCAGCAAAGGGCGGAACTGGAAGATGCAAAGGAACAGGCAAGAGAGGCAACACAGAGACAAAATCCACTAGGTGAGTTGTAGAAAAGTGGGGTCATGTGGCCTGAGGTCTTAGCCAGCACCACATGGGCAGCGCTTCCAGACGGCCCTGGCGATGCAAGGGCAAAGGCAAAGAGAGGGCGTCGGCCTGGGCACACAGGTATGACCAAAATATATGGCAAAACTAAAATTCTTAAACGTATTGCAGCAAAAGGCCAACTGCTGCTAATCCCTCTCAGAAAATGACCCCTTCTTCCTTCAAACACACTTCTCCCACCATTCTTGTGCTTTCTGAAGCAGCTCTAGAAGTCCTCTTTCGTGACTGTCTTGAACTGCATTGTGGCTGCCTCCATGTCTTGAAAGGATTCAAAATGTTCACCTTTCATGGTCATTTTGACTTTGGGGAAGAGCCAGAAGTCGCATGGTGCCAGGTCCAGTAGATAAGACAGATGAGGACCCACCATGGTGTTTTTTACTTGGCAGAAGCTGCCATAAACATCTTGAATCAATTCAGGATGTAGAGGCAATCATGCAAAGGATGACTTCCAGAAGGGCTTCAGAAAATGGCAAAGATGATGTCATGCGCATGTTCAAAGCCAAAAGGAATATTTTTAAGGGAATTAATGGCAAGACGTCTTTTGCTGTCACCAATTTTTTTTCTTTAAACATTTGCCATAATTTTGATCACGCCTCCTAAGCAGGATCAATAAAGAAGAGGCACAACCCGGGAGCTGCACCCTGAGCTGCGACAGATCTGGAATCTGGGAGCAGGGGCTGCTTCTGAAGACCCACCCCATCTCTGCTACAGGGAGCCACCGGGGGAGCTCCTGGGGCTCCACACCTCAGGATGGCAGAAATGACATTCAGGGCAGTGGGTCCTGGTCCCTGGGGTCCCCTGAGAGCAATACAGTCGGCCCTCTGTACCCACGGGTACAGCTAACCACGGATCTACAATATTTTTATAAAACCTTGTTTCTTTACTGAACATATGCAGGCCTTTTTCCTGTCACTACTACAGTCAGGATGACCGCTTTGCCATATTCTTCATCTTACCACAGGTCCAACTCACAGTCACTGTTCAAACTTGCTCCACACTGATGCTAAACACCATCTCACTCAAGAACCAGACGGAGATGTTCCCTCAGCTACATCTTAAAAGAACTGGCAAGACTCTGGCTTGGACACCACAGAGAAACCAAAGGAGAAAGAAAGTAAAAGCGAGTCTCTTCTCAAATTTCCTGTACTCACCAAGTGCCTAGAGCGGGCAAGAGTTTCAGAGAAGCATCAGTTAAGATGCACAGGTTCCCCCAAACACCATTCTCTACTTGTCAGAGACTACAGAACATTGATGACCCCTCCCCCGTGACACTGGAACACCGGACGTGCCTGGAGGACCCATGGTCTCTGCAATTGCCCAGGTGAGGCCATCAGCAGACAGGACCTCCTTCCTCTGGCTTGGTGGGGAGAGAAGAGCACCAGAGTGTCATAGAAAAAGCAGACGTCCATATGAGATACAGTGACAGTGACTACATCTGTGTGCTTCCTACGGGCCAACACCATACCATGCAGGCACAGTCCAGCTGATGACAATCTTCCCCTTCTGCAGCTGAGGCACTGGAATGAAGGTGGCAGAGCCAGAGATGCTGGGGTTGGGGCTACGGGAGTGTACCACGACTGTCACCCCCATTCCTAGGCATACGGGGTAAATACCAGCAAGGACTGCCTTTACCTCTGACCTGAGTCTGCCCCTTGGCAAAAGGGAAATCACTGTTCCCCTGCTTTCTGGGAGCTCTGGGATCCTAACGCCCATCATCTTTTCCCCAAACACCACCTCCACCACCTCCACGACCCCTAGGCCAGTCTGGCACCCACAGGCTTCAGCAGGAGCCTCTGCTCACCCATCCCCACAGGGAAAGGGCAAAGCACATCCCCCAGGTCTCTCACAATGCCCCATTGTGCAGCATTTGGGGACAGGCTCTGTCGGCGGCAACAGGATTTTCTGCTGCTGATGTGCCATCTTTTCTCAGCTGCATTCTGCTCCACGAGCAGTGCCACATCAGACAGAAAGGAGCCTGTAGCCCTGTGCCCCAAGAAACACACAGCCAACGAGGGCACTGCCGAGGACCCACCTGCCAGGGCAGGTGACTCAGCCTGGAGACCCAGAAAGATGAGAAGGAAGAGAACAGAAGGTCTTTACACCAACGTGCTTCAAGTGCTTATTTCCACAGTGGCACATTAGGTTTGAACTTGAACCCATTCAAAACACCCTAAGCATTTCTCCCTGGTTTCAGTATGCATGAAGGAAACATCCTAGTCGCATCGCAGGCAGGTCATATGGAAGTTGCATTAAATTCTTCCCCTTCTCGAGGCCCCCTGGTTTGTATAGCAAGCTCCAGCCGCTCGCTCACTTGAAGCAAAGCAGAAGGACTGCCCACATGCAGAAAAGAGAAAAACGTCCTGATTTTCCTCGTTTGCTCACTCCACCAGCTCTGCTCACTCCCATTCTCCGAGTCTGCCCATTTAATCCCCTCCTTGGCAGCCTGGCAGGCTGCATCACAGAGCCACCTCAAATGCCATCACATTCTGCCTGAGCAGGCAGGACAGCCGGTGGAAGGGACTCACTCCCCTTCCTGAGGCTCTGCCCACAGGGCCATCTGCTCCTATTCTGGGCTCCCTGGGCCAGTGCAGGCCTCACTGGACGCCCCTTGTCCCTGCAAGGAGGGGTCTATTGCACGCATGGGAAGAAGCCTGGCCTGAAGCTCAAGGCAGGTGCGAAGAGCCAAGAGGCACAAGCAGAAGCCCCAGGGAGGAGAAACCCATTCGTGGGAGCTCCCAAGGGACAGGGCCCTTCCGTAGCTGCCAGCACTAGGTTCAGGAGCAAAACCTCTCCTGTTTTTGGTGCATCACTAGTGAGGAGGTAAGAATTCCTGGTGCAGATGAGCCTCCAGGGTTCAGAGAAGTGAAGTGACCTGCCCAAGGTCACACAGAAGTGTACTGAACTCAGAGAGGGAGAGAAAGGCAGTCATGGAAGTGCACAGGCAAGAACTCTAGCTCTGAACTACACCCCAATCCCAGGAATTATTTTTTAAAAGAGCAAAATCAAATATTTAGGAGCAAAATTTCAAAAATACTGGCTTTGAAGATGCCTCCCCATGCTGTGCTTTCCCAAGCAAGTCACATTCGTGAGTCACAGAAGACCAAACACCTCCCAGAAGAAAACACAAGAAGCTGGTCTTCTTATCCTCACAAGATTCCCCAGAACTGGGTTCTCATGCTGAACTGCAGAACTCAGTGTTTGACCAGAAGTAAAGATAAGGAGATTACACAAATTACTAACCCATCCAAACCCTTATTTAACTGGCCAAGCCACTGCCAAGGCATCAACCCTCGGAACAAAGCATCAACCACTACAGATTCATTTTTGCACGCCACAGTTCCTTATCAGCATGAGGACAGTGAAATTCCTTACTGATCATGGTGGTCCCCCCGGCCAGGGCTGCTTTGGTGCCCTGAAAGAAGTCATCAGCAGACGTCATCCCCTGGTCGGGCATCTGGAACCGAGTGTGGACATCAATTCCTCCAGGGATCACCATTCTGGAGTGGGCCTCGATGGTCTTCACCCCTCCTGGCACGATGAGGTTTTCTCCTATTTGCCTAAGCAAACAAAGGGGGAGAGAAAAGCAGTCAAGGAAGTGCACAGTCAAACAGGACCTGTCAGCTGTCCTTGCAAAGCAGCAACCTACCTCCACTATATGCCACAGACTTCTCCAATTATAATTCCTCCAAGAAGCATTCCCCACCTCTCATCCTCAAATAAGAGGGGACGCCAAGCAAAACTCACATAGGGTATCAGGGTTCAATGGATGAAGCCCAGGCCCAGGGATATTTAAATAAAATGTCTTTCAACCTTCTTCTAGCGAACACCATTCAGCTAATTATCCTGCATCGATTTGCTGCAGATCTGTCTGCATTTTCCAAATATTCAATTTCACCACAGTCTTTCCCCTCAAGAGAATAGGAGAAAGAGTGGAGGTGAAAGTGGCAGTAGAACAAAATAAGGTGGAGGAAAAAGTGAACAGGATAATTTTGACAATTCCAAAACAAGGAAGCAGGTGCCCACAAGGGAGACAATGAAAGCAGAGGAAAAAAAACAAAACTATTCATCACAGTGGGGAATGGGATTTATTTCTAAGCTTTGACAAGTATTTTTACTACATCATTATACCAATTTTTCAAAAATAAAATTAATCGGTGAGGAACTGATAAAAGTCCCAAGACAAATGACAGAGCAAGCCTGTCCTGCCCCCTGCCAGGCCACATCAGATCAGATCGTGCTGTGTTACAATTGGGGGCAGAAATAAGAATGTCATGGCACTAGAAGAGTCCAGAGCCGAGACTGTCACCGGGAAACACACATGGAGAACACATTAAATGTGGAAATGTTAAAACCTATTTTAGGATCATAAATCAGGGTGTGAGCATCTAGGCAACAGCCAAGAACCCTCCAGCTTTCCACTCCTCCCAACTGGTCTGCTGCTAGCACTTGATGAATACTGCTAATTTAAAAGATGTCACTGGCTGCAGTGTTCGCCTGCATCAGATGTGCCGTTTCTCTAGAGCCCGAGAGCTGTCCCAGTAAGAGGAGCTGGGGACACTGGTATACACTCAGCTCCTTTCAACCCCCCAGGTTCCAACCCTCCCCAAACTCATAACAGCTCTGCTGTTTCTCCTCCGTAACATACACAATAAACACAGGGACAGCCTTATTTGTGCTGGTTGCCACTTGAAGAATGAAACCTAAAATCCTCCCCCCCGGGGATTAGGCCATAGTTTGTCTGTGTTACTTGGCAATTAACTTGGAATACTTCTGTGGTTCCTCCTACTTAGGACTTAATCAGGCCCCTTCTGATTAAGAAAGCAGATGAGCTGTCTCCATAGAAGAGGCTGTGTTTGTGTCTTCTGATGGGGCAATCCAGCCAAACAATCACATTCTAGAGAAACCTTTAGAATATTCAACATATCACAAATCAAGTATTTGAGCTGGTGACAAGAAGTTATTGTGTCACCTCTGCTAAAAATAGTACATTGCACAATCCACAGTGCAGTGGGTAGGCATGAATTGTGACCATGAAGCCCCTAAATCTGATTTCTCAAATTCATCAATTGTCACCCATCAAAATGGGCTCACAGCAGCATCTAAACTGGGCACTCTGAGTCAGGAAAGTAGCTACAGCTCCGAACACCGCAGGTCAGATTTGTACATAATGAGTTACACTTACTTGATCAGCCCATCCTCCATGTATATGTCTGCATAGAAGGACTGGTCATCATTAACTATTTTACCGCCTTTGATCAGAAGACGATCACTCTGAAACAAAGAGGCAGGAAGGAAGGTTACAGTGCATAGCTGACACATGAGAAACACAGTGCTAAGAAAACTGAGGTGAAGGTACATTTTTACTAAAGTAATGGTCCCAATGCGCCAATATTGGGACGGTTCAGTAATACAAGGGAACCCAGATGTAGCAACCTGTTCTCATCCTGCAGCTGTGAACTTTCTCTTTCTATTAGGCCTTAGATCTGAAAGCAAAATAAAGGGGCAAGGCTCACTGCAGAGCAGGGAAAACACTTCAGATAAAGAAGACAATACTCTTTAAATGACTTTTGGCTAAACTTCATTTAAAAAAAAACACACATGTAGGAAAGTCACAGTTTGGCAAGGTTCATGTGTGGAAAAACTGACCACAGCCTGTTGTCATGGGATTTGCTACACAAACACACTTAGTTCCACCATAATGAGGTTCCAAGACCATACGTCCCTTTATATTTGCATTTATCTTTGGGTTAAGTCATAGCAAGTGTATCCAGGTTGAGAAGCACTAGAAAAACCATACCATTTTTAACTAACCGATTAAGAAAAAAGGTACAGTTTTATCAAGAAGTAGGTAAGATGGTAAATTTAAAATCTAACACCATTGTAGACTGATGGACTTAACTGATGATATTTGTGCAAAAAAAAAAAAAAAAAAAAAGAAAAGAAAAGAAAAGAAAAGGCTGCATATTTAGGCCAAGAATGTAACAGAAATGCTACGCTCTGACTCACACTGATCCCAAATGCTGTACTCTTGTTGAAATGGAATGTGAACACTGCGTGTTCAAAATATGCACCTGTACTATTTCAAACTGCATTTACGTTTCAGGGGCTGGGCCATGCATGTATGCACTGCCCTTTAAACATGCAACACGTTTCAAAGGGCAGTGTTCATCTTGACAATACTAACTCCAACATTCAGTAACAATATTTTCAGCAAGGGCTATTTATAGTTCACAGAAAACTGTAGAAGCCTCTAAAATATATAAAGCTGCTAGACAGCAAAAGGGAAAATGCACTGACATTTAAACCCAAACAGCTAGGTTTAGGAAATTATGTCAGCTCTGCTATATTGAAAAAAACAAGTCATTTTAATTCTGGACACTGTAGTTTTTCATGTTGATGTTGACATTGGAAAGTCAAGTGGAAATAGTCAACGATTCCTGCACCTGTATGTGTTTAATGTAAAGACTTTACCAAATCCCGCAGGATGCATTGCGCCCATAGCAGGCTCACAACAAACTTGGGAGGTGGATGGAACAGGATTCTTACTGCCACAGGGGAACTGAGGCTGGGAGAGGAAGCCCAGGGTGATCCCAACCCCTCTCTCAGACCCGGTGCTTCAATAACATGGGAGATAAGGAGATGCCCTCTGCTGTAACACCTGCCCCCCCCCTGCCTTCTGCACCGAAAATCCCCAAGGCAGCATCACACCCAGGAAAAAGCCAAACAGCACAGTCCAGCTTACTCCAGCGCCTTCTAGAAGGCTTCTTACATAACAGGCTGGCATGGCGGGCGGGGGGGAGGGAGGGAAATCATGTATAGGTCCTAGGATAATGCAACAGATTTTTTGTTTTAATGGTGGAGGAGAGGCGCTATTTTAAAAAAAAAAAATCGATCTTGTTGATGGTTTGCCTAATTTTCTTTTCCCTTCCCATCCTGTTAAAACGAAACTGCCCCGTTCATTCAAGAAGACAGCAAATTATGTTTGCTTGCAGGAAATCTGCTCCCCACCCCCACCCCCCAGACTGCCTCCAACGCAGGGAGCACAGAATGCTGGGTCTCCCGTGCCCAGCCCTTTAGGATCTGGATGTTTTGCCTTCCGGGAAAAAGCTGGTACCCACCCTTGCTACAGAACAACCCTATCCATCTGAGCACACGCCCCTCCCTGGTGCATTCGTTCCCACATCTCTCCTGCGGATGGGTGTGTCCCCGTGAGCGGAGGGCCGAGGCCAAAGACACAGCCCAGACGAGCGCGCCCTCAAATCCAGCCCTAAAATACATCTTGACTGCTAGGGAGACTCTTTCGTGTCTGCATCGGCCCTGGGTTCCACCCTGGAACCAGCTGGCCGGCGGCGACTGCACAGCGTTATATAACAATGAATTCCCTGCCGTTCCTCCCTCCCTGGAATTCAATTAGGGGATGGACTGAATAGGACCTGCGCGGTTTTTCCAGGAAAAGATGGAGAAAGGATGGGGAAGCATAACCGGTGGCGCGCTCTGAAGCATCCCGAATTCACCGCACGGACGTCTCCCCGTGGTGCAAACACTAACAATGCCAGGCCCCAGAACGGCGGCACCTCGGGCCGCTGCGATCATTGTCTGCCGGGCCATCTGCTCCACGCGGCGCGCTGCGCACTCAGCTCCCGAGCCCCGCTCGCCGTGGTCTCCAGCGCCCAACGCCCAGCCGCTTTTGTATGCGCCAACGAGGACGCCTCCTTGGCAGCAGAAGGGACCGAAAAGACGCCTGAAAGCGAGCCCTTCTCTGGGCTTGGCCTCAGACCAACGGGCGAGAGTCCCCAGAGGGGGCACCAAAAACCTGTCTGTGGTCAACAAAAAAGCCCAGCCCTCCCCCTCTGCACATCCCCGCGCCTCCGCTCCCTTCGCCTGGGCACATCATCCCGATACACCGTGCCCTTCTTCGCATCCGCGCTGTCACTATGCCCGCGGGCTGCACCCGATCCGTCTCGCAAGGAGTTGGGGAAGGCTCCAGAAAGCCCCCGACGGCGGGGCGGAAGGCGCACGGAGGATCCCTCCCCCAGCAGACCATCGCGGCCGCAGGAGCCCGGCCTCGCCTCCCGGAGCGAGGTCTCCGAGCCCAGCCCTGCGTGTGCTATGTGGCCTCCATTTGCTCGCGCCCCGCAGGCCGGCACTGCAGCACCGCGCGCCGACAATAAAGGATGCAGCGGATCTGGCGCGCTCCCCAAGGCCACTCCGCGCACCCGCGCTCCGATTTTAATGACTTGCAAATTACACGCCTTATAATTTTTTCTTATTGCGCCCCCTCCATCATCATCATCACCATCGCCTTCGTCTTCCACAGAAAATTAAAAAGTTGGTTCCACTCCCCCCCCCAAAAAAATCCCATAGATATTCTGTGCTACAAAAGGCTTAGCGAACGCAGATTCCCCATGTACAAACTCACCGTGATGCGCGGAATATTTTTCTTCCCCTGATAAGACATCTCTCTCCGGGGAGAAAATTAATTTCAAGGGGACAGCTTTAAGGCCAAAAAAAAAAAAAAAATTGCTGCGAAGGAGACTTGGTTGGGATTTTTGTTTTGTTTTTGATTTTCTGGCAGGACTAAAAAAAGGTCCAATTGCCTCGGTGGTCTTGCTAGTAGCAGATTTCAGGAATGTAAGGGATGAATGCAATCCTCTGTCTCTCTTTCTTCCTCTCCTCCAAACACAGCCCCGGCTAGGGCGGAAAAAAAAAAGGGAAAGAGACAGAGGGAGAGAGAACAGGAGGGAAGGGGGTGGAAATAAACTACAGCAATAAAAGCCTCGGTTCAAGTTGGCCACCGCGGCGCATGCGCCGCCAGCCACTCCCTTTCCTCCCAGGCAAGAGCCATCCGTTTCGAGAGAGTCGCCCACTGATTGGCCACCATCGTAGGATATGCAAATGAGGCCGGTGGGGCGGGGCGCGGCGGCCGAGCGCGGCAGGCTGCAGTGTGCGGTCGGGGGCGGCGGTCGGTGCGTGCTCCCGAGCCGGGTGCGCGCCTTTCGCGCCCTTTCTTTGGGGCTTGGCGGCGGGGATCTGGACTGGCAGCGGCCCCAGAGGCTTCATCTGCAACGCGGGGACAATGGACGGGTGGTCGTTCGGACGTGGGGGAGGGGGCGCAACCCGAAGACGGAGGGGCTTCGGGGCAGCCCGCGCGCGCACGCCCGCCGCGCGCCAATCCGCGGAGGCCGCCGCTGCGCCCCGCGTGGGGTGACTGCGCCGAGCCAATGGCTTCGCTGGCGGCGAGCGCGCGACTGCGCCGCAGCCTCCGCCCTGCACCGCCGGGGGGCGGGGACGGAGCGGCCCCGGGCCCGGAGCGTGCAGCCTGCAGTGGGAAGCGGGGCCGGGGCAGCGGAACATCCGCGGGGCCCGCCGGGAACCGCCCTTTGTGCCCACAGGACACAAGGACCGGGTAGGGGAGTGCGGGCTGCCGAGGCCAGGAGCCCCTAGCCCTGGGCCTTACACTGGCTCCTTAGCAACCACGCCCACCTGGACCCCCTGGGGCGCTGGATGAGGGACGCACCCCGCTGGTGCTGCAGAGCCGTGGGGAGACGCTGCGGGGCTTCCCGCGCCTGTGGAGACTCGGGCTCTACGGTGCTGAGACTGCTACACCGCAGGGTTAAGCAGAAAGTGAGGAGACGCTGCGAAAAAGCAAGAGCAACAAACAGCAATGCCGCAAAACAGGGAAACTAAGTCTTGTAGAAACCTTCAGATCCAGTTAAAACCACGACAGGCCTGCCTCCCTAGTAGGGTCTTAGTAGTCACCCTTAAACGGCATTCAAGGCCTCCCGGAGTGACCCTAGGGATTGAACCTTAACTTGCCACTCAGTCGTACAGTGATGCTCTTCACATCCATGTGGGGGGAAAGAACTTGTCCAGTGGATCCCCACGGGGTACAAGGACTAAAACCTCTGCACCGGCTGGCTTGGTGGCTTCTGTGCTTGCGATCAAACAATGCAAACAATCCTTACCTAGTCGAGGCCACCTCGTTGGTGCTGAGGTGGGGACTGGAGTAATTGGCTACACCTGGCCAGCAAAGATTAGCCAGATAAATACAGAACTCCCTGGAACTCCCTGGGCCCTGCCTCTTGGTGACTGCACTTGGTTCCCCTGGCCACGAGGGGAGATGTGAAATTCACCCTAAAGTCCCCACAGGGAGCTTGGCCTCTTCCAATCCATTCCACTTGGACTTGGTTCTACGTCTGGGAAAGAACAGAGGAACGCTTCCTCTCCACGTGTCTGAGGGGGGCTGATATCCCCAAGTATTTGGTATCAGC